CACCTGCACACCCAAGTGAGTATGTTATTCCTCCAGAAACAATTATTGCCCTGTGAATACAGCACTGTAACTTGGCAGAGATATTAGATATTAGTGGTCACAGAGTTAGAAACAGATCTCTGGATCTCTTTTTGCTGCCATAAGCAAAAAGTCCTGCAACAACTATTTTTTAAGTTTCAAAACAACTCCCTGGGAAGGATAGTAAACTAAATGAGATGCGGAACTAAGACATTATGCAACATTATTTGTGAAAGAATCTATACAGGAAAAAGAACAAAAACAGACATTAAGAAGCAGAACTAAGTCTGAACACGTGTGCCCTTCCAGCACGCCTGTTCCAGAAGGGGAGCCATGCTGATCTTTCTTTCTTTCTTTCTTTCTTTCTTTCTTTCTTTCTTTCTTTCTTATTCTCTTTTAATGATTTAGTCCCGCATGACCCCACTATTCTGACTTTTCCAAACAAACCACATATATACAGTGGAGTCTAGTACACTCTCGATAACCTTCTACAGTGGTACCTCAGGTTAAGTACTTAATTCGTTCTGGAGGTCCATACTTAACCTGAACCTGTTCTTAACCTGAAGCACCACTTTAGCTAATGGGGCCTTCTGCTGCCGCTGCGCCGCCAGAGCACAATTTCTGTTCTCATCCTGAAGCAAAGTTCTTAACCCGAGGTATTATTTCTGGGTTAGCAGAGTCTGTAACCTGAAGCGTATGTAACCCGAGGTACCACTGTAGTTATGATCAGAATTAGGTTTACAAGTAAATTTCCCTTTCAGACTTTCCATATCTGCTGCTCTTATCGAGTATTTGGCTGGCAGCAGCTCATAAGGCTTGTTCTGCTATTGAAAGGACCCACCACAAATTTGAATGACTTCAGAGGAAGCGAGAGCTGTGGTGATGGAACCCAAAGAGTCTCTGCAAAAGAGGAAACCAAGGATGACACTGCGGGAAGCAAGAGGCCACCTTGCCGTATGTGTGCACCAAACTGGGTATTTGACCCAAGTGGAATGAAGTCTCGTTTTGCCCCTGGGGAAAGAAGCTCTTAGGATGGAAGAGGTGTGCAGCATGCCTCCTTTGTGATTAGAAGAAAAGTGGGGAAAGGAAGTCAATCCTCCCTCTCTTTCCTTCCCTAACCCCCACCAGAGCTTTCTTGGGGCAACACACAGATGTTGTGTGTCAGCCATGCCCACGGTGCCTCAGAGGCTCTGTCAGCCAGCTCTTCCCCCTCAAGGAGATTCTGCTCATTGTATCCCACCAGGCCAAGAGCATAAAGAGCCCTCAGGAGGAAGATGCTCACCCAACCACAGACTCTTTTTGCAAAGGTCCCCCCCCAAAAAAAACAAACAGCAAGCCCCTTCCTGTCCCCACCCTTCTTGCAACCCTCAGGTGACAGGCGGGTCTGTTTCATGAACTGTCTCTTTAATGAGAGAAGGTGGCAAGGGAGGGAGGGGAGATGTTTGGGGAAGGGGAGAAGAGGAGAGAACAGGTATCCCTTCCCCTCCTCAAGTCTTTCAGTAATTTTTTATAGTGACAGCAGCCTCCTCTGAGAGAGATCCTAAGAAGATCTCCCAGACAGAAGTCCTAGCCAGGCAGACTCAGTTTCATTCATGCAATCAAGGGGGAGATCTTGGACGGGAGGGTTTTATTTTATTTTTACTCCCCCACCCTCTTTCTTGGGGAAGGGGGAGAAATACCCCATCAGACCTCATTTTGTTTCAGTGTGTTCAAAGATGCTTTCTCTGGAAATGTTTATTTAAGGAGAGTTTTACACAAATCAGCAGCTCTTATTTTATTTTTTAGCAAAACAGCATTGTAGCAATAATGAAATGAGTTGAAGTTTGGTATGTTAATGAGTGGGCTTGTTTTTTTTTATTTAGAAAAGCGAAACTGGTTGGTCAAATGGATCGAAGGATGTGATTGATATGTAGTATATAGTTATATATTCTTCCACCTACCACACGCCCCAAATGAGCAGAAGAGAGGTGAAAGAAATTCTACAATTGATGAGGGGGGTTTCACGTCATTTCCCACTTTTATGCAGTCCTCATCAAACAGCTTTCCCTCTCTCATAACCGTTTTCTATGCTTCACAATACTTTTTTTTTAAATAGGGAGAAATAAATAGTGTGACAGGAATTATTAGCCTTACAACGTTGAGACTTTGTTAGTAGATTTCTAGTACAGGTTTGTAAAGAGGTCCAAAGTTAAAAACAATAGCTTTCTCCCATGACAACCTAGAAAGCAAATATTCAGGATGCACCTTGGCTCCTCACGAGACTTTCCTGCATATCACATCACGACCAGGGCTATTGTAAATATACATTTTGTAGAGGGGAAGAAAAACAGCATGTAAACAGCAACAAGAGGAATACAGGGACCGTTTTTTCTAGAAAAAAGCGCTAATGACCATGAAAAATTTGGTATCATCATCGAACTTGGCCATGTCATTGTGTACCCACCCCTAATCTAGATGGTTTATGAACAAGTTACAAAGCACAAGTCCCAACGCGGATCCTCGTGGGCTCCATGCTTTATATCCCTTTGTTGGATGAATTGTCCATTCATTCCTACTCTCTGCCTCCGGTCTCATAACCAGTTACTGATCCGCAAAAGGACCAGCAAAGTGAGAGGAGGATGCTCCTTGCAGAACCAGCCACTGCCCTTTCAGGATAACACATCCCCCTACATTTCTTTCAGTAGTATGGCAGAATCAATCAGACAAGAGATGGCTGAAAGGCAGAGGTGGGTCCACGGATCCTTATCAGGATGGGCCAAATCTGACAGGTGAGGGGTGTTCACCTGTCAATCATTGGTGTCTTTATGATATTGCATGATCGACAGGTAGGTTACCCCCCCTTGACAAAACTATTTTTTCCTCTTTGCACTCCCTCCCTCTGTTTCCCTTTGATCCCCCCCCCCAGTCCTCCCAGCATTGCTGTGGGAAGAGTGAAAAAGAAGCCTGTATTTTCCAAGCTTTCCTTGGCTTCATGTGCCAGTTCCCTGGGCAGAACCAGTGGCATCAGCCGATGGAGGTGGTCAGGGGAGGATGGCCTCATGGGCCCAATTGGACTTCCTGTTCTCAGGCACGCCTGCCACTGCTTCTGATTGCTTCCCTCTCTCCTTGCTCATTCACACGCTCTCTTTGGGCGGGATGGTAGATAGGATTGGGCCCTGCGACCTCACCCTGAGCGAGCAGGTGGAAGCTGTGGCTTTTCTTCAAAAGAGCTTACGTTCCCTGCCCTTCTCTCTGGGTGGCGCCAGAGGCTGCGCCACCCACAAAGAGAAGGCAAATGGAGGGAAAGTTCTCTTTATGAGCCAACTGATTCTGCTCACTTGCACACCTCCTGCCTCCTTTTGGACCTTGAGGTTTTTGGGGTCAGCGCCCAGCGGCAGTGTCTGAAAAAAGATGGCTGCTGTTACCTGTGTGCTGTTAAGAGAAAGAGGGTGCAGCAGGCAGAGGGAGCAGGTTGTCCTGCAGAGCAACCCCAAAGTCTCCTTCTCCCCACCACGTCCCTGGATAGCAGGCAGAGGGAGGCTCAGCCCGACAGTCAGAGGCAGCTGCGGCTGTCCTTGCAAATATCGTAAAGTTGCCCTCCTTCAAGCTGAAGCTGCCTGGTAGCAGTCATTGCTGTGGGCAGAGGAGGTTGCGTGGTTGTGTGTGGTGGCAGGGAGCAAGGGGCGCAGTCAGAGCAGCCACCCCATGAGCCCAAACCTAGACTCGGACTGAACCCACCCAGGCTGAGCCCCTCCAGAGCTTCTCCCAGCTGCCCACTAGACTGAGCCAGAGCGACCACAGCAGTCCTCGACTATGGACCACAGCAGTCCTCGACTGCCAGGGCCGTCTTAAGCATATCCGGTGCTGTGGTGCAAAGTTCCCTCAGACGACCCCCGTTTCCCAGAGTTATTGACCTTTTCCCAAGCCTCTGCAGGGATCGCTCTCCTCCCGTGGAGGCTTGGGAGGCAAGCTGCATGCCCGCCAGCCATATGGTTGACGGGGCCATAGCTGTCAACCTTCCCTTTTTTTGTGGGAAATTGTGCGGGTGGCGCTGTGGGTTAAATCACTGAGCCTAGGACTTGCTGATCAGAAGGTGGGTGGTTCGAATCCCCGCAATGGGGTGAGCTCCCTGCCAACCTAGCAGTTCAAAAGCACGTCAAAGTGCAAGTAGATAAATAGGTACCGCTCCGGCGGGAAGGTAAACAGTGTTTCTGTGCGCTGCTCTGGTTTTGCCAGACGCGGCTTAGTCTTGCTGGCCACATGACCCAGGAAAGCTGTCTGCGGACAAACGCCGGCTCCCTCGGGCCAATAAAGCGAGATGAGCGCCGCAACCCCAGAGTCGGCCAGGACTGGACCTAATGGTCAGGGGTCCCTTTACCTTTACAGTACCTTTACCCTTATTTCAGCACCGTTTCCCGTTGCTATCCTGCATTGTTAGATATCCTGTAGACTGTCCCCGGGACAGGTGAGGTTGCTGATCCCTTATTTTCAAATCTGAAAGCTGACAGCTATGGATGGGGCACAGCTGGTGGGCTTGCAGGGAAAAGGGAGGCCGCTGGCAAAGCCGTGCAGCTCCCCCACTCGCTGGGGCACCCCTGAGAGGCCAGCGCCCTGGTGCAATGCACCAGTAAGCCCAATAGGAAAAGACGGCTCTGCTCCCTGCAGCTGGTCTGTGCCAGTGCCGCCCGCCACGTCCAAGATGCTGCGCCGGGGCCAAACGGTGCGCCGGAGAGGTGGATGGATGCGAGGCATGCAGGACGGGCGTAAAAGGGAAGCGGGCAGAAGTTTCCATTGTCAGTAGGAAGCCACAAAATGGGGAACCCGCTTGCTAGACGGGGAGAAACAGCGCGGGGGGAGAAGCCCCCCGTCTCGATGCCTCTCTGTGGAAGGAAGGCTCTCGGGCAGCTCTGCAGCGGGAGAGGCGAGCGGGTTTCTGAGCCTGAGCAGAGCGCGGGCTGCCGAAGCGCCCCATCCGCCCCCGTCCCGTCCAGTCCCACACTCACCGCGCCGCGCTCGAAGTCGTCGTAGAAGGGCTTGTCGAGCAGGTGCCTCTCGCTCGTGCCGCCCGAGCCCACCAGGCTCAGGTAGACGTAGTCGTCGGTGCCCGCGAACCACTGGCTGCCCGTCGCCACCGTCACCGAGTAGGACGGCATGGCTGCGCCGAGGAGCCGAGCAGAAGTCGCGGGGCTGCGCGCAGGCACCAGGAGGCGCCGCCCCGCCGAGGAGGGCGAGGTCCCGCTCCGAGGGGAGGCGCTGGCGCGGCCGCCGCCGTCGGGGGCCGCTTCAGGCGCTGCCGCTCCTCGGGCTGAAGATCCAGGGGCTCCTCCGGCAGGAACTTTGGCGCTCTAGCAGAGCATCTTTCCTTCTTCCAACTTAGCCCCCCAGGACCAAGCAGCCTTTCTGGGGGAGCGGGGTTTGGGATTCCACTGCAAAAGTTTCCAAACCTAGACGAGAACTCACAGAGGAAAGAAGCCACAGCAAACAGACACGCAGGTTGGGAGGCACCAGCAGGTGTGAATGCTGCACTGGAATTGCCTAGTTACGATTTATATCCCTTTATAAGATCTAGATCCTAGATATGGTTTTTATCTCCAGTTCCGTCTTGTTTTGCATCCTCCGGCGCAAATATATTCAAATGATGTACTTCTGCCTCGATGACTCACTGCCTCGTGTGTGTGTTGTTTTTCGTTTGTAAAGGGAGATTTAAAGTATATTTCAAATTGGTTCCATTATTCCCCACAGCACACAATATACAAAATAATGCAAATGTTCTGGTTGGTGGATCTCCTCAATATACCCCCTTGGTTTTCCTTGTGTGTGTGAAGACAGAACAAATATAATGGGAGAAGTTCTACTGTGGCTCCAGTGATCAGAGGAGCCTCTCTCCTCCCCCCTCCTTGGGAGGACAATGGGAGAGGTGAAATGCCTCAGAAAAAATGGGGGGGAGAGAGAAATTGGTAGGGGTGGGATTGAATGAGATAGGTAACAGGTTAGATAAGTAGATAAGTAGATAAGCGACGATGCGGGACCTGGTGACTCAGCGGGCACCATTTGACCCCCCCCTGACCCGAGAAGGAGCCTTTTTAAAGGCTTCGGAACGGGGACGGGGAGTGGCGTGGTGCTGAGAGTCGACTGCTTCTCCTACGGAGTAAAGCCGCATGCCATGGTCGGAGAGCGCTGACTTCTTCCTTTGAACATTTGGACTAAAAGTAACAACCCGTGAGTAATACGGAAATCAGACTTATAAAAGGAAAATTTTTGATTGAATTCGGCACGATCGGAGAAGGCACAAAGATGAAGTCCGTCTCCCCGCCTTGTAAACAACTTAAAGCAAGGACTAGATAACTAAGGTCGAGAGAACATCTTCTTTTTATTGGATAAAGTTATTAATTGCACGATTTGGCAGTATAACCAATTTTGCTGGAGGATAAGAGTTAATTTTGAGAGCTGAAGTGCCGCCACCCCCGGGACCCGGGGGTGATCCGCGAGAGAGAGCCTGTTGATTTATTATTTATTATTATTATTGAGGAGACATAGAAGATTTTGACAGCTGTCAAACTAGCTGTCAAAGTTGGAAAAAAATAGAAAACTTTGTTTCTGTTGTTTTTGCTGGTTATATTTGTTACAAATTGTTGGAAACAAAGAAGAACTGAAACAAGTTAACTTGACTTTTGGGTTGGAACTGGAAGGATTACTAAATAACCAGAATCCCTCTAGAGGGGGTTCAGGGACATTACAAGAATGGCTGCAGGTGGAAAAATACAGGCTGAACTGGACAAGGCTTTTTTTCTCTTGGGAAAGTTGCAAGAGCAAAGTGATGTTTTGGCTACAAGTGTCACAACTTTGAAGTCAACAGTAAATAAATTTACTGAGTTGGATAAGGACTTGATTCAAAAAGTCCATGCAGCAGAACAAGAAAAGAAATCTGAGAAATTTGAGGAAGTGGAGAAAGAGATATATGCTGACCAGGAGGAACAGGAAGCAGAGGCTGCAATGCTGCAGATGGTAAAAGAGAGCCAGAGGCCTGTCAAGATGGATACAAAGGAAAATAAGGACTGGATGATGAAAATCTGGTTTGAATTGAAGAATGAAGAATGGAGAGATCTCTTCTTGTGGAGATCTGAAGATCTATGGATTACAAATTTGTTCAAGGTGGAAGCTGGAGCCTTTGGGACATTTGGATTTAAAAGGATTAAGAAACAAGATTTGAGCTCCACTTTTGAATATGGAGGTCTGGCTGGAATATGGACATTATTGGGACAGAGCTTCTCCGAGATTTGGTGTTTAATACAAAGGACTATCAAAAAAACCGGCAGAGAGGAATTGAGAGAGAATTAAGAGCCTCGGATGTGAGGTCTCCAGGCTGATAGCAGATGGACTGATGGACATTGGTTGGGGATCGAAACCGGGAAAGGGAGGGTGGGGTTTGGGAATCCAAAGGGTGTACAATTATATCTTGATTTTTTTTATTTTTTGTTTTGTTATTAGCATAAAAATGGGGAATTCGTGGAAGGGAATTTGGGTCGACCTTAGAAAAAGGTTTTAAGAAGGAGTACTGACGTACAAAGGCTAATGTATCTAAGTTAAAATTGGATATATATAATGATATATATAAAATGAATCAAATATAATAATGAGCTAAATATAATAAGGTTAAAAATTGGGGATAAGAACTTGTTGAACTAACAATTGGAAATGGAATACAAGAAGGGGAGGTGTGGGGAAGTCGTGGAAATAGGTTATTGAAAATAAGGATTGTAAATGTTGAGTGTTTTTAATTTTCTTTTCTCTTTTTTTCTTTTTTCTGGATTTTTTGAAAATTTCAATAAATATCTTTAAAAAAAAAAGATAAGTATCATAAGACATGAGACCAGAAATTAAGAACTACATTCAACTCATGGATAATGAAATAAGGATTTCAACCCAGTACGCTTCCAGGCACAATTCAAAGTGTTGGTGCTAACCTTTAAAGCCCTAAAGAGCCTCAGTCCAGTATACCTGAAGGAGCATCTCCACCCCATCGTTCTGCCTGGACACTGAGATCCAGCACCAAGGGCCTTCTGGCGGTTCCCTCACTGCAAGAAGTGAGGTTACAGGGAACCAGGCAGAGGGCCTTCTCGGTAGTGGCGCCCGCCCTGTGGAATGCCTTCCCATCAGATGTCAAGGCAATAAGCAACTATCCTTCTTTTAAAAGAACATCTGAAGGCAACCCTGTTTAGGGGAGTTTTTAATGTTTAATGCTGTATTGTTTTTAATATTCAATTGAGAGCCCCCTAGAGTGGCTGGGGAAACCCAGCCAGATGGGTGTGGTATACATAAATAATAATAATAATAATAATTATTATTATTATTATTAACATTAAAGGGCTGCGGTCGATTATGAAAAGGATAGAAACATAAATAGCAGATAAATAGTCAAATCTGGGGGGAAATGTGGAAGAAACGCACTTTGAAAATGTTGTCTATTAGGATAAAAGAAAATTATAAATTAGCTTGGAGGTGGTATTTAATACCAGCCAGATTAAATCAAATAAATAAGGAATATTCAGTGTTATGTTGGAGGGGATGCCAGGAAACAGGGAATTATGTTCACATGTGGTGGGGGTGCAAATATGTACAATTTTGGGGAGCAAAGGGTGTTTAAGGAGATAACAGAAATCACTGGTTTCTGACTGAAAGTCCAGAGGTAGCATTATTATCAATTTATAATGGTGTGGAGGGTTTGCAGGCTATGAAAGACTTGCTCACAAATTTATTGACAGCTGCGTAAGTTATTATAGCTAGGAAGTGGAAGGGGGAAAGTGAATACAAAATAGAAGAATGGTATAAAGAGGCGTGCGATATAGCTATTAATTAACATGTGCTATTAAGGCAAGATGGGGAACATGCAGGAGAAATGATTTTGAGGAGATATGGAAGATGTTTGTAGAATTTGTACTGTTAAAACAGAAAGGGCCAAGAGGTGTTGAACTATTGGGAGATTGGATAGTTACAGTGGAATGGTCTTGGGGGTACGGTGCACATTTTTATTCTTATTTATTTATTATTACTTTGTCAAAATAATAAATAAAACAATTTTTAAACAAAACTAATGTGGACAAAAGGAAAACGGAGCAAGACACCTGGTGCTAACTTGGTTGCCAGAGCTATTGGAAGGAGGCATATGATGTACCATCCAACCATCTTGGGGCAGGGGTCAGCAAACTAAGGTCCGTGGGCCAGATAATGCCCAAGAGGCTCTTTAATCCGGCCCAAGGACCCTGCCGCCTGCCCAGTCAGTCCCTGCGCTGAACTGGCGTGGCGGCATCTAGCCACGCGGGGACTGACTTCTGCGATGGGCGCACAGGCTGCTTTGGATTGGCTCCAGGAAGATCCCGCAGCCAATCCGAAGCAGCGGATGCCTCTGGGCAGGTGGCGAAACTGGCCAATCTGAAGCCTCATTGCCTGCGCTCTGAGGAAACCCGGCGCGGCTTCAGAATGGCTCCAGGAAGCTCCTGCAGTCAATCCGAAGCTGCTGAAGCCTCTGGGCTGGCAGCTACACTGGCCAATCTGAAGGCACACTGAATTTCCTCTGCAGCCATGGCATTGCAGCCATGGACAGCGAGGCTGGCGGGCACATTGCGGGGCTTCATCCGGAGCTTGGTGCACCTGATGGCCCCGCGCCCGGGAAAGCTCTCCCAGAAACGAGAGCCGCTGCCACCGCCATCAGCTCCCAACTGCTGCCAGGAAGTAGGAAAGCAGGGGGAGGGGAAGAGAGAAGCCCCCCTCTGCCGGTGTGTATGTGCACATGTGCCTGTGTGCAGTCCAACCTGCCAGAAGATTTGAGGGGCAGTGAGCTGGCCCACTGGTAGAAAGGTTTGCTGACCCCTGGTCTTAGGGACTCCACTCCAGATTTGTGAAGGGCTTGTTCCTTAGCCTTTTCTTCTTCCAAAGATGTCCCGCCAGGCATCTGGCACGGATTTTTACTCTCCAATGCTCTCTCACAAATATGTATAGCCGCAAAGCAGAAGAGGTTTAGTACCAGTTTGCGTTCTCCTAGATGGGCGAGCTTCTCAGGTATGGGGGTGTTAGGGGAGGGTTAGTACCTCTGGTGGGGAATACCTCCTTCTGGGGTAGTTTGTTCACCTTTGGTCAGTACCCTGCACTCACCTCTCACCCCTAGAGGCTGTGAGCATGCAACAGCGGCCACACCTTGGGAACAGCTTCAACTGGCCATCTAAACTAGGTGAGGGTAGCTGATGGGTCCCAAACCCTCAGTGACTTAGGGACTTCCCCTGCATGCAAAGACAGGCTCCAGAAGAATGAGTGGACCAGACCAACAGTGGGTCCAACTGTCAAGAAGGTGGTTACTGCACTGTGCTGTAGAGTGAAATGAGAGGCAGATGGGGCTTCTCAGTGAAAATGTAGTATAGGGAAATAATCCCCTCTATTCATCCAAGTCATTTATAAAGATATTATATAGGGCCAAAGGCAGAGTCCTATGACACCCTACTTGAGATTCTTCTTCCATTTATGCAGTCGTGAATGAGGGATGTTTGGGAATTCGTTTTAAAAAGCTGAAGATCCATCTAACCGTGGTATTATTCAAATTACATTT